GAAGACAGCATCTCTCTCTCACACGCGCACACACAATCATAACCTTTACACAGCCCGTTGAAGAATTAGGAAAAATGTTGGTCCTCGTGACAAACTAGATCAAAATCAGTTAAAAGAGCAGTGAACAGACATATCAGTCTCTCCCTGAAGACCATGCTTAACCCTACTCATACTGGTGGGTACAATGAATCAGGAAAAACGATTTGGGGCAATACCATTACTGAATATCAAACATTAAGAACATACAAATAATTACAAATTGAACAAAAGGTCAATCATGTTAATAATGAAGGAAATAAATCTGCCAATGTATAAAATATTGTGTCAGCAATCAGATATTAAGTCAAATCATCAAATAATCAACTGTATATTGTATACACAGTCACTATTGTATACACTGAAGGTCAGATGGTTCAGCATCACCATGGCGTTGGTGATGAGGTGCAAATAGCATATGAGGTATACATGGACAGTACTGCAAATGACCAACAGCAGCAGATATCCCTGCAAAAAAAAACAAAAAAAAAACAGCAGCAGCTTTACATATAATATAACAGAAGGTAAAACAGCATATTTAAGGTCGAGGTCAAAGGTTTCACCTTTGACTACATTATAGTCAGAGGTGTTCCTAATATTCTGACCCTCTTATGTGTGTAGCTGGAGAGGACAACAATATAGAGACACCTCTGAATATAATGTAGTCCAGTACAACACCATCTTTAACTATGACCTCAATAATAATTGAATTTATGCATTTATGACAATTTCACCAAAAGCGGAAACATTTTGAGCTTCATAAACACAGATGTTAAGGTGGAAATGTTGCACTGAATTGCATACACTTGTACTTGTACCTAACAAAGGGGGTGGTGACTGTATCAATGAAGGAGTAGTTCACCTGACAGGGTTGTGGAGTTTTGGAGGGTTGTTCCATCACTGTCTAGTATATGAGGACTGGAATGGCTCTAGAGGTCTGGGTTTTCCAGCCTGTGGGTTTTGTTTTTAGCATTGGCATCATAAGGTTCTTGTAATATTTTAAGTGTGGTCAGAAGCCGGTGTGTAAGCATTCTTTTCCCCACTGCCTGAACTGACAGGCATGATTTTGTCATGTGAATGTCGGTGAGCAGCATGTGTCATTTCCCTGTTTGAAACTTCCCATTGCACAGACTGATTTTTATTTGCCTGTAATTTCAAAAAGAAACAAGTTGTGAAAGACATTGTGATTTGTTCATTCAAGTTATTTTAGCCAAAATAGTCCTTTTACCACTACAGCCAGTATATAATACTGCATGGGATCACTGTTAGGATTTGTATTTTAAATTCTGTGATTTCCCTAAAAACATATTGGTTTCTTCTTTTTAACTTTTCTGTTCTAAAGTTGAGCACCAAAGGATGCTTAGTGAAGTGAAATGAGAATACAAGCTCAAACATTTGCATTTACAGCAAAGCAATAACAAGCAATTTAGTATATTGGCCAATGCAGTCACCATCAGGAGGAATGACCATAGGCGATGTCCTGTCATTGTGAAAGTTCCCACTTCTCATCTGTGTGGCTTTTGCAAACTTTGGAATTTTGGCAGAGCGGCCTTAAAAGGCGTCTGCAGATGGATATTTTGTCATTTGAAGACATTGTTGAGCTACAACAATGCTACGCAAGGTACTGCTGTTTTCTTCTGTGTTTTCTTATATTTTTGCAGCATATGTCACTTTCTTATCCTGGTTAGATCCTTAACAGCTGTGCTATCTTTGGGGAGGTCAGCATTTGAGTTCTGGACCCTGTTTCACCTTTCCAGGGTATTACGGAGAGCTTTGGAGCTGTTATTCATGCCCTCAACACAACTCAGCTAACAGATGGTGTGATCAACAGGAGCAAAAGGATGATGCTGGACACCCTGGGTGTCGGGTTGTTAGGAACCAGGACAGCTGTCTTCAACAAGGCTCTCAAATACAGCCAGGTACAGGAAACTGTTTGACATGAGTGGACATAAAATACAATATAATATTGACATGATGTTGACAACATAAAAAAACTTTATGACAAAGACTTAATTTTAACTGCAGGTAAAGTTGAAAACTGGGAACCTTTTAGTTCAGAGTTGTATTCACATCCATATTTAACTGCACATTTCTTCTGATGTCATTTATCTGATTGCAGTCGTTCATATCTGAGGACAGGAGCAGTGTTTGGGGTAAATCAGCAATAGCTCTCCCAGCACCTTATGCTGCATTTGTCAATGGTGTCGCTGTAAGTTTGGTCAAATAAAACATATTTACAACATGTAAAAAAAAAAAAAAAAATCTGATTCTGCTCTGATTTGACCTCTAATTACCAGCTCTGCCACACTGTCTGGTTTACAGGTTCACTCCATGGACTTTGATGACACATGGCACCCTGCTACTCATCCGTCGGGAGCTGTGCTGCCTGCCCTGTTGGCCCTGGCAGAGACGCTGCCCAGTCAGCCCTCTGGTCTAGATCTGCTGCTGGCCTATAATGTTGGCATCGAGGTGCAGGGGAGACTGCTGAGGTTCTCCAGAGAAGCCTACAACATCCCTGAGAGGTGAGTAATTTGAAATCATTAACCAGCAAGTTAAGAGTTCTGGACCATGTTCATGTGTAAATAAAAAAGAAAAGAAAGCAACACCTCTTTCATCAAAGTGTTGATAATCCATAACTTCACTGTCAGCAAGTTTCATAGTTTCTTCAGTAGAATGTCGTTCCCATAAAAATGGGCACAAGTTGTGTGAATTATGAAAAAAAATAAAATAAAAAAGACAAGCTGCTCTTTAGTTTCAGAGACATATGTTTAAAAACCTGGACAAAAAAAATGAAAGAAATGGGCTATTTTGCTTTTCCACTGTCCACCAAAGGTATTACCACGGCAACTACAATTGTAGTTTTTTTTAATTATTCTCTTTTCTCAATTATTGTTCTATAAATGTCAAAATAATGAAAATGCCCATTACAATTTCTCTTAGGCCCGATGTTAAGTATTCAAATTCCTTGTCTGACCATTAAAGTAGTCAAGTTCAGTTTGTTAGCACATAAGCAAACACCTTTAAGAACTAGTGTATCTTCAGCATTTATGGCTGAAAATGTTTCATCATTTAATAAAATTGTTCATTTCAGCTGGAATCAAACTCTTATTAAACTCAAGCAGATTCTAATATGTTTGTGGTTTTTCTCTTTCCCTGACACACTCAGATTCCATCCTCCCAGTGTTGTTGGGGTGATGGGGAGCGCTGCAGCCTCAGCTAAGCTCCTGGGTTTGTCCCCTTCACAGTGCAGTCATGCTCTTGCTCTTGCAGCCTCCTCTGCTGGGGCTCCCTTGGCCAATGCTGCCACACAAACCAAACCTCTCCACATAGGAAACGCTGCCCGCAGAGGCCTGGAGGCCGCTCTGCTGGCCAAGATCGGACTAGTGGGGAATCCAGCCATCCTGGACATTGACAGTGGGTTTGGGGTTTACTACAAAGACTACAGTCCTTCAGCGATGGCAGACGCGGCTTCTGGTGACTTTAAATGGATTCTGGAAGATCAGGATGTGGCCATCAAGCGCATCCCTGCTCATCTGGGGATGCACTGGGTTGTGGATGCTGCTCTGGCGGTCCGCGGAAAAGTCGAAAACACGGTCGGAAACTTTGACCTCAGTCAGATACGGCACATCACACTTCGAGTACCTCCATCCAAGTATGTGAACTGCCCCCTGCCTACAACAGAGCACCAGGCAAGGCACTCGTTTCAGTTCAACGCCTGCTCTGCCCTGCTGGATAACAAAGTGACAGTGGCTTCCTTCAGCGAAGCTCAAATGAACCGTCCTGTTCTTAAGGCGCTCTTGGACAAAGTGAAGATGGAGACCCCCAAGGACAACCATCCCAGCTTTGACAAGATGTACTGCGAGGTTGAAATAGAAACAGAGCATGGGCAGAGTTATGCAGCCAGATGTGACACCTTTTATGGCCACTGGAGGAAGCCACTGAGTCACAAGGACCTGGTGGAGAAGTTCAGTGTGAATGCATCTTCGGTGCTCTGCACAGACGGAGTTGAAGGAGTGATCGATGTGGTTGGAAACATTGAAAGAGTGAGAGAATGCTCAGTGTTAGGTTCCTATCTGAGGATGATAAAACAGCCCACGTCAGCAGTTATACATCACGAGAGCTTGGTGATTATACAGCATTTGAGCAAGCCAGTGCAGCAAGTGTGATATTTGTGTCAAGCTTTGTAATATTTAAACTTTTTCATAAAACATGCAAGAGCAAAATAATCAATGTAAATATTTTGTACACAAGCCTGGAATAAAGTGAACTAAACACTTTCATTTTATTGCATTTCTTTTGTACATTGCTACAAACTTTTCCAAACTTTTGATTATTGCCGTCATCATGAGATGGATCCATTGCATCAAAATACAATCGAAAAAGATTAAACTGAGATTATTGTCAAATAAAAGCTACACCGAAAAGGTTGTAACATACAGTGCACGTTACTTCTTCAAACATATTTTGTAAGAATATCTGAAAGTGCTTTTAATGAGGATCATTCTATAATCACTTCAACACTGATGCAGCAGACATTTACCAACGAACTCGTTAAAACGACAGCCCGCCATTTCTTTTCTTCCTGTCCACCGCCGAGTGCCAGTCCAATCAAGCGAGTTTTAGCACATCCTGGACCATCGATCCGATCCCATCGAATACCTCATGGATTGGAGCTTTGCACATGAAGGCGCAGGTGGTGACCAGCTTGTTCTTCTCATCCACGTGGCTCTGACTGACGCTCTTGCACACGTGTTTGCAGCCCAGCTGGTTGATGGCCGCTGCAGTGTCAGCAGTGTCGGGGTACCTGACAAAGAAACGGGCACCAAACAATGTTTAGCTGCTTCAAGGGTAGCTTCTGCAGACGCTCCAGGAAAATTAAGATTTATTACAAGTTGGGTCTTGTTTTTGTAGCTTTGGACATTTTATTAATATAATGTAAAACAGGCAGGTTCAAATGAGGTTGTGACTTTTTGTGCTTTATATGATGTTTTATAGTGAACGGTAGCATTTCTGCATCAATATAAACTTGGTGGATTCTTGTCCTTATTTGAATGTAAGATGTTTTCTATAGCCGTTGCTACTGTGATTATATAGAGCCTTTTTCTTTGTCCGAGGCCCCCCTTATGGTGCGGGCAGACCAAAATCTGCCAACCAACTCATATAGTGTGGCCCAAAGCAGGAGGGGTCAGGGAACAGAGTGAGTAGGGTTGTAAACATAACCTGCAGGTGATAGCATTGCTGGCGGGCTAACAGCAGCAGCCCACAGAGCTGTAAATTAAACAGCGTGTTATTTTACTGCCATTAACGTCCTTCACTGCCCTCACACTCACTGCAGCCTGGCAGTGTCTCCTCCTCTTCTGCTGCTGCTGCTCATATTCTTTCACCATACAGTTCCTGAATGAGAGGTCAGTCCCACCCCCTCTCTCGAGACTCCACATAGACATGAACATGAATGGCAAGTGGTGTGACTGCACCTCAAATTCCCCTTAGGTTTTAAAATAAAATTCTCATCACTAAAGTAATATCTAACTTATTTGAACATGCAACAAAGCTAAAATGTAAATATTAAAAATCCAGTTTGCCTTTGTCTTCTCCTTCACATAAATGAACCTAACCCAGAGATTTTTTTTATATCTCCATGATCATCTAATTGTTTGTGCTTCTCAACCAGTCAGATGAGACTCACTTGTCATCTTTCTCAACACCAACGGTGACCTCACACCCAGGAAACACCTTGGCAGCCAGGACAGGTGAGATGCAGCAGAGGCCAATGGGTTTGCCCGCACTGTGGAACGCCTGCAACGTGGCTTTAACTTCATCGTTAACGGAGCAGTCCTTCCCTTGCACTGCCCAGGTACACAGGTTCTTTGCTGCTCCAAAACCACCTGCAGTGAAAATAACAAATACAGTGAAAATACAAAATCATTTCTATAATAACCTCCCAGAAAGAAGTGTATTTAAAGAGAACAGAAATGCAGAAACCATTTTAGGCAGGACACAGTAAGTGATTTTAGAGCCTTAGAGCAAGAGGAAAATATAATTACCATAGTGAAAAATACTTTTAATTCTTTAAAACAACCACTGATTTCAGTCTTCATCAGAAAGGAGCCAAAATCCCTTTTCTGTAAAATCTCCTCCACCCTGTGAACTTTTCTTTTCGGTATATTTAGACTTAAGCAATGAAGTAATAACAGAAGAGTGTAAGATTTGCACAGTAAAAGAGAAGGCTGCTGCATAATTTTTTACCAGACCTGGGAATATAACAGCATCATGGTCACTGACACTGAGTTTAGACAGATTCTGAATGTTTCCACGGGCCAGCCTGGCACTCTCCACCAACACGTTTCTCTTCTCCTGAGATGGTTCACCTTTCAGATGATCCACCACATGCATCTGGTCAATGTTGGGGGCAAAGATGTTTACCTGCAGTTCAGAAATGCAAAAGACCAGGAGTTACAACTTTAAGGATTGCAGCTTTTTTAAAAAACTATTGATTAATCTGTTGATTTTTGTACAACTGATTAAAAAGTATAATCTAAAATCACCAGTTCCAAAAGCCTGAGGTAAAAAAAAAAAAAAAAAAAAAGTTTCATCCATGTTCATGTCAAAAATCTCGCACCACCTCTGGATCAAAACTTCTCTTGGGCCTTTATTTACCAAACATCAGGAGTGTGCAACACTTTCACAATACAGTCTTTGCCTGTATCTGCATTTCTGAACACAACATGACATGATATGTGAATGAACAGGGAAGTTCAGAGAAGTATTTCTCTCTGGATTCTGAGACTGGAGGAGTCTTGTCTCTGTTTCAAACTAAGGAGAGCTGTTCTTGGTGTGCTGACGCGCATATGCACATTCAAGAAATAATAAGTATAATCACCTTTATTGGCCACGTGTGTTACACACAAGGAATTTGTTTCCGGTAAAAAACCGAGGCTGCCAACTCAACGTGGGGGTTCAGTGTCTTGCCCAAGGACACTTTGACACGTGGACTGCAGGGAAACGACTGCTATACCCACCGTCACATATCGATTTGATCCACTGTATTACCATTTGGTCAGGTTCTGTGTCAGTCTGTTCATTTCACTTGCCCTATTGCTCGGTTTAATAGCTTGTAGACGTCAGGCCTGACAAGCCACCAGTGCTTCCGGAAAGAGCGTAGAGCTTTGCCTCTCACACGCACAATGGAAAAAAAAGAAACGAGCAAAACTATCAAGTATGATGTCTGTACAGATTCTCAGTCATCCAGGTCACAGTAAGCTGAATAAACTTAGAAAAAACAACTGGACTAGGTTTTTTTTTTTTTAGGTCGAAGACATTTCCCCTCTCATCCAAGAGGCTGATGCAAGAACTGATGGAGCCTCTTGGATTAAAGGTGAAATGTCTTCAAACTAAAAAAAAAACCTAAACCAGATTTTTCTAAGTTTTTTCAGCTTATCAAGTATGATGCACTGTATTAAGCTGCTTGTAATGTGGTAACAGATTGTATTTCACACCGTTTTTATTCTTTTTTCAGCCCCCTCACACGCCCAAAAGTGCACACAACACAAAGCTCTCTAGCAAACTTACACTTGCACCTCCTCTGCTCAGGTGAACCAGAATAGCAGAAGCTTCGTGAATCTCACTGCCGTCAAAAACTCCGCAACCCGCCAACACTACAGCCACGCGTTTACCCATCTGTGTTGAGTAATAACTTTTATTCACAGCCTGAACAGTCCTCAAAGTCAGTAGGTTACGACTACAGTGGTGCAACAGAGTGAACATGGCGGACTTCTTCCTATAGCATTTATTGGCGGTTTGCAAGACAACCTACGGTGCATTACCGCCACCTGCTGGGCTGGAGTGTGAAACGATAATAAAGCCGTAGGAATATATATTTCAAGTCATTAATAATCTTTATTGTCATTATGCATAGCACAACGAAATTTATTTTAGGGAAAAAAGTTCTTAGAACTGCATAAACTACTAATTTCTACCCAAAATACCTATATCTGCCAAATAACTAATAGCAACTCTATATGCTGTCTCACAAATGCTGCCCAAAAAACTCTCTAGTGATATATTAGTAATCTTCTTTTGTTCCAGTACTGCTACCATTCGAGCAAGTTGCTCATTATAAGTACTGCACATAGAGGATAGGACATGCTCTACAGTCTCTATGTGACTACAGTGTGGACAAAGACCTGTAGGGTGTTCACCTATGTTGTGCAGAATATAATTTAAATTTGTGTGACCTATTCTCAAACGAGTTACTGTGACGACGCCCCCTTCTTCTACTACTATTTTTATTCTTCTGCATTTTAAATTGCGGTTTGTATATGTCCAGGCTTCTCAGTGCTTTAGCACCATCTTGTGTGCAAACACGAGCACTGCGGCGTCCCCTCAGGCCAGGCTACTCTGATATAGGATATTTAGATTACGAAAAGAGTTGATGCAAATTGACATGAGATAATACAAGAAGCCAGTACGTCACTTTCTTTCAACTCTTCCTACATTTTGTTTCATAGATGTTTCATGGTCATAATTTTGATTCATTTAATTTTCATTCAGATGATTTTGAGGTCTTTTCAGTCACTACAGTATACTGTATATTACTTGCTTTACCTTTGCCTATACGATCCAAGGTGGGAAAAAATAAGTAGCTCCAGTAGGACAAAAACCCCAAACCTAGCAAAATACTTACCTTTGATCAATACAATTACTATATACACAATGAAACTGAAAAATTATTTGAATAAACTTGAACATTTTATAATTGCATTGGCTGTAACGTTAAAGTGCTTATTATTATTACTGTTACTACTACTACTACTAGTACTACTACTACTCTTGTTGTTAAATAAGTTAAATAAATGAATATGTTAAAGAAAGAAATAAAAAACAAATGAAAAGAATTCTCCATAAATTAAATTTTGATAAAATATTTAAATAAGCAGTTAAATGCGTGGCGTGTCTAAATAAATAATTCAATATCTGAAAATCACTTCTCACAAATCATTCTTTAAATAAAATAAATGGGCAATTATAATGGTTATATTTGTCTTTTATTTTCAAGGTTATTTATACTTCCCTATTTTTTACATTAATTTAATTTTAATTTATTACTATATAACTTTTTCTATACTTATTTTCTTTCCTTTCACATGATAAACTCGTTTCCTTTTGTCATGTGATTTTATATCACGTGACCAGTAATGAGGAAGTAGAAAGAAGAATCATGGGCAGTCTATTTTCCTAAAAAAGTTTTGCTTCTTTGTGAATTTTTATGACTTTAACATGATTCACACAGAGGTTGTTTTATGTTTAAACCTGTTTATCGTGTTTCTTCATGTTGTCGCTCCGTTCAGCAATAATGTACAGCAGTGGCCTGTTCCCTACAGGTATGAATAAACCCTTATTTCTTTACAATGCTAGGACGTCTGCAAGTTGACACGTTTTGAATGCTAAAGATGAACATCAAGATATCATGATTTTTAATTTAATCATAGACATGATATCAGCTGAATGACATATGACAGTCTTAATAACATTATATGTATTAACTACTATGTGTCAAAGAAGAACTAGCCTACTTTTATACAGGTCAAAGTAAAGTGGTATTGCGGATATAAAACTAGAGAAAAAAATGAATACAAAGAAAAATATGCACAGTACCAAAGAGAAGACTGGTGATTTTAGAAAGGTATACTCACAAGAAACAGGGTTACTTACTGAAGTAACAGATAAAGTTAGTTTTTTATAATAGTAACCACAAAATGTTGAATATTTGACTGTTGCTTAGACAGAACTACATTTAAACATGATTAACTGGGGCTTCAGGGAACATTGGGGGCATTTAAAAATTATTTTATATAGCTTTCCAACAGTTGAAAAATCAGTAGATTTTAAAAAAAGTTGTCAGATGTATTGATAATATAAATAATTGTTGTTTGCAGCCTTATAGTTCTCTGGTGGGAATATAAAAGAAATGTGAGGCAGAAAATTTGAAGCAATTTCACAGAACAACTTTAAAACAAAGGAGCTCAATATAAACTAAAACAGTTAAGGTCTTAAAAGGAGATTTTTCCACAAAGTCCCCTGTGAAGACCAGGGATACTAGATGGAGGATGGAGGACATGGATGATATTGAACTTCAGTAAAATTGACAAGTTTGCCATTAATCAGCTTGTGCGGACCCAAGTGTTATGATGTAAACCTGGTGCTTTTGACACACACGAGGGTCTGGGTTTTGAAACCCCACTTTGCCCAGTTGGTGATGCCTTGTGTGCCCCCAGCCTGTTTGCAGGTCTACATGCTTGTTCAAACTCTGAAACAGGTATTAGTACCAAAGAGTAGCATTTGAGTATCAAACCTTTAAGTTCAGATTTGTTATTTCAGCCATAAGATAAACTACACTCAGTTGGCAGTTACTGTTGCTACAGTTGAATCAATGTTTCTCTCTCACAGTTTCAACAAAAACTGAACATTATCACCTTCATAACGGGAGGATTTATTGCAGGACTGTAGGAGGAGTTTGTACAGCTGAATGAAATCTTTTTTTTCTCAAGATCAGAGTATAAAATCCAAAACATAAAAACACATTTAGTGTGCATCAAGAACCTGAGTGTAATAAAAAAAAAAGTGTGTTTGAATTCAAATAAAGTTTAAAAACTCTACTTAATCCCTGCTTGGTCTTCTCATGTCTTCAATAGACGCTACGATCATCGCCCTACTGCTGACTCTTACTGTGAAGCTCTCTACCCGTTCTGCCCCACCGGAGATCAGGATGGACGGATTCCCCACATGAGAGACACTGACGTAATCTCAGTTTATCGACTGCAAACACCTGTGTGGGAATTCAAGTACGGAGATTTGCTGGGGAAGTTTGTAAGTACATCCATTCTCTTGTTATCAGTTTAAACATTTTGCTGGTCTTTCTGTCAGCACCATTGGTTACCAGAGTCTGAATAGCTCAGTGCACACATCGGAACTAAGTAAACATAGTCTGGGATGGTTGGGGGGGCAGAAATATAAATTATAACAATAACATAAAAACATGACTAGAAGAAATTATAAAAACTTAAAAAAAAGTGAAACATGTTGTATGTGTTTAAAATACCTGATACAACTTAACTGTACATGTTTATGAATTTTGCAGTTACTTAATTTGGATTAAAGTCTGAAACTCATAACAAATGTGGTTTTGAGATAAAAATTTAAAAAGTACAAAAATAATTGTATAAAATATCTAAAATTCAAGGAATAAAATGGACATCATTCGGACATACTGTATATTCTTTGTGTTGTTGATAATTATTTGAAATTGAGGTGAAGATACTACTGTGCTGCTGTAATCAATGAAACTTGTTTCATCAGACACAGATGGGTAATTAAATATAGTAGGACTGTGTTAAATTTAAGTGCAGTTGTGTGACTTTATTCAGAGAAATGCAGCGTTACGCACTTCCTCGTGTCCAGGCACAGACTGCCAGTGTAATGTGTCTTTTTGGTTCACAGCATATCATGCACGATGCCATTGGGTTCAGCAGTTTAGAGACGGGGGTCAACAAAAAAAACACCATGGAGTGGTACGAGCTGTTCCAGCTGGGCAACTGCACCTTCCCTCATCTCAGACCCGAGGTGTATGCACCTTTCTGGTGCAACCAGGGGGCCGCCTGCTTCTTTGAAGGCATCGATGACCTACACTGGTCCCAAAATGGCACCTTAGAGAAAATAGGAGAAATAACCGGTAAGATGTCACATATGTGGTCTTTTTTGCCTTTGCTCATAGATTTTATATTAAATAGACACGATTGTGATTTTTGCCCAACAATCTACACTCAGTAATCCATAATAATAATTTCTAAAACATGTTTTAGAAATTTTTCCCAAATTTATTAATAACCAAAAACTGAAATTTCATATTTACAAAAGCACTCAGAACCTTTGCTGTGGAGCTTCATATTGTGGTCTGCTGCATCCCGTTTGCGCCACCTGTGGCAAATTGAATCAATCTAACATAGTTTAGAAAAGCACACATTTGTGCATGCAAGGTGCCACAATTTACACAGTATGTCAGGAAAGAAACAAATCACAAAGTCCAAGGAACTTTCTGTAGACCTCTAACAAAATTTGGCAAGGCACAGATGAGGGTAAGGGTATAAACCCATTTCTAAAGCTCCATCCTCCATCTAGTATCCCTGGTCTTCACAAGGGACTTTGTGGAAATCCTCCTTTATGACCTTAACTGTTTTAGTTTATATTGAGCTCCTTTGTTTTCAAGTTGTTCTGTGAAATTGCTTCAAATTTTCTATCTCACATTTCTTTTATATTCCATTTTTAAAATCTATTGATTTTTCAACTGTCAGAAAGCTATATAAAATAATTTTTATATATATATATATATATATATATATAATCCTGATCTGGAAACCACTGGGTGGTGATATTTTCTCATGCTTCCTGCTTGACTGCTTCCTTCCCTTCTCCAGGTAGCCAGTTCAATGGCATGGCCCAGTGGGTCCAGGACGACAATGAGACTGGGATCTACTACGAGACATGGACAGTCCGCTCTGACCCCAGCCCTAATGCCACAGTTTGGTTCGAGTCATACGACTGCTCCCAGTTTATCCACCGAACATACAGGAAGCTAACAGAGCTCGGAGCCAAACTATCCAGCCGATCCCAAACCAACTACACCAGAATCTACCTGTACAGCGGAGAGCCCACTTACCTTGGCAATGACAGCGCCATATTTGGACAACCGGCTCTGAAGAATCTAGCAATGGACATCCGAAACTTTTACCACACATTCAGGCCGCATCAGTCATTTCTAGACTTTGCCATCAGTCTATTGGAGGCTTATAAAAAGGTTGTGTTGGACAAGAGCTTCTACTTGTACTACAACTTTGAGTACTGGCATCTGCCAATGAAAACTCCTTATGTGCAGATTACATATGAAGAGGTGCCTTTGCCCTTTGCAGTATAAGTTAACTACAGAATTTACCTGGTTAAAGGATAAGGCCAGTCATCTCCTATATTAACAGTATTTTCACCGTCTCCATACAGACACTAAAGCCAACAATGATTTGCTTCTGATTAACTTCTGTCATAACTGGATTAGTTTACTAGTCTGTGCCATAGACCTCCATCGTTTGAACAACAATGATTGTTTTTGAACAAAACAATCATCATCACCGCTGCTCATTACGAAACACAAGACCCTAATATTAGTTAACATCTAGTGACATCGTGCACAGGCCCTGGACTCTTGTTTACTTCAGACACTAAAACATTTAAAAAAACAAACAAAAACAGGGTCTGGTGTTTCGTAATGAAGAAACATGTCAGCCAGTGCAGCGGTTTTTCTTTTTGTAAAACAGTGGAGGTCTATGGCACAGACAAATAAGCTATTAATAATTAGTAGAGACCAACTGATAGTTTGTCTTTGTACAGGGATGGTTGTAAATACCGTTAATGTAGAAAATGAACGTCACTTTCGGCTTTTCCTGTTTTATGGGGCGCCACAGCGAATCATCACACTGACGACTCGCATGTTGACATTTGGCACGTGTTTTACGCCGGATGCCCTTCCTGATTCTAACCCGGGGCGGATGCCCTTCCTGACGCAACCCCGATTCTAACCCGGGGCACAGCAGTACGAGCACTCTGATGTACTGTGGTGTTTGCAGAATCATAGAATGGCAGCTGCAAAGAGTACATTCACAAATTTTATTACCAGTATAAGATCATATGTCCAAAACAATACTTTGAAATTTCAAGACAGGTGACCAGTAAAGCAACATAGCCAAAGCATGTACCTCCACAGAAAACAAACTAAAGCACAGCATAATCAACACGTTTTCTCCTACTAGACTTACTGGAGGACTCTCAGGACATGATCTTAAAATAACAGTTATTGACAAGAGGCGCATTTATGATGAAATCAATGTTTCTTCTTAATTGAGTTTATGTAAAACCCTAATTCAATTGAATTTTCCTAAAATAAAACCCCCAATAAAGACAAAATGACAGTACTGAGAACCAGCCTTCATTTTAAAGTTTCGTCACATCCATTGTTTAATGCATTGCACAAATTACAGAGAATAATTAGGAGACGTTACTGTACCGTTAAAATGCTAATGTACATGAGCACAGCACAGGCATCAGCTGCAGTTATCATGTTTGTTTTATCTTTATTATCTGACTCAATTGTCTCAGTTTGTCTCTGTTACCATGTGGCTACATCAAACATCTAATGAGGAATGAAATGAACAAAACAGGACTTTATACAGATCCTAATGCCATACAGTGTTGTCCAAAGGTATGCCAACTAATACTTTATGAAAATGGTTTTACAAATTCTCTCGAATACAATTATGTCACTTTTAATAACTTGTATTGTCAAAATGTTTTATTATGACTTTGCAGGCAACTTCTCTGTCGTTTTAATCTATTAAGTGGATTTTAATGCATCGCGTTTTTAAAGTTTTCTTAAAGATGATCAGTAGGATCCAGATGTGGTGACTGGAGAGAAAGCCGTGTAAATCTGCACTCCTTTCTCTTAAATTCAAGCAGGTGTATTATGTCGCCTTGCTTTTAGTGCCATTGTCCTCCTTTTACCCAATTTAAGAAAAATTATATCATTCCTCTGCATGTTGAAAGCACAGTGCTGACAGTGATTAAAACAGAGAAGTAGTGGACTCGCATCTTTTGAACCACCTGTATGTGACAGAGTTGGAAGGGTCCAAACTAAACTTGCTGCTCCTGTTTGCCAGTTCTAATAATTGATTCTTCTGTATAACTGAAAAACACAAATTACACAGCTTCTGTTCTCTAGTGACTACAGTATGAAAAAGCTCCATCTAGTAAAGGATAACTCGTACTCTGGTTTTATAAAAGACACGAGCCATTAAGGAAACTCCAAACCCTGACAGAACAATTCTATTCATAGTAATCAAACACACTGCGTTTCATATACAGATGTATTTGACTTCCTCCTCGAAGGGGGAAAAAAAAAAAAGGTTTGTTTCATTCATCTGACTCGCCAAATCTCTATCGACTGAAATGAATGGGTGTTTGGGAAAGGAGCACTAATGCAATCCACAAACACAGTGTTAGTAATGAAAAGGTGACTACTGCTTCCTCTCTTGTACGCACGATGTGATAATGCCATACAAAGCAAATGTGAGCTAATAGGTGGGCAGATATTAACAAGAGAAAGCCAAGGTTTAGCGCCTGAACAGGCAAATAACAGAAGATACAACTTAAACCTATAAAGGAAATATTCATTTAATGCACCTGAGAGAGAGACAGGGTGGATTTTGCATTCCAAGTGTGCACTGTAAGCTAACACCTGCAGAGACTAGACTACTGCTGAATGATTACAAAGCAGTCTTGAGTAGAAAGGTTGGATGCTCACCAGTATCCACTTTCAAATTCAGACATATGTGCACAATTTATATTTACATAGAATCATTTCTAAATCAGAAATTATAGATTTATTACTTCAATAAACTGCTCCTGACATGTGATTCACCAGAAGCCTACTACAGCATAAATAATCAGCATTAAAGTCTGGGTCCGACTAAGGAAAAACAAAGCAATATAAAGCTCATTTCTTTGCTTTGTCCTTACTGTTATTTGGTATTCAAGTAAGGTGCTTAATACGGTAGAGGATTACTGGTAAAACACACTGGAAGCGTTTTCTATGCACGTCTCAGGCTGCAGATAGAAATCCAATATCTCAAATGTGTCAGTCTACACTGAATCAGTGAGATGTGCATCTACCGTAGAACCCTCACATTATTTTTAATGCTCCATATCTATTTTTTCACGTCTGCTGCGTTCTCTCTTCAGTCAGCTGTTTAAATCACAAATCCCGTTTTCTGTTTCTACTGGTATTTGTTACGACTGATCAGGTCACGTCTCGATTTCAGAGTGGACTGAATGGAATCATGCTTCAGTAGCACTTACGTTTCTCGCTTCCAGCTTGTTTCACCAGTTAGGCCACTAAAAATTTTTTTTATTTTAGTTCCGTCTTTAATCTCAGAAATCTGACATTAAAATCACAATTTGGACTTTTTCCCCCAAGAATTCAGATTTTTTTAAAGTCAGAATTCTGAGTTTAATCAGTTTTTTTCCTCAGAATTCTTTTTTCTTAGAAAACGTTTTTCTAGAAATTCTGAGATTAAAGTCAGAATTCTGAGTTTAATCAATGGAAAAAACTAATTAATCTCAGAATTCTAAGAAAAACCCACTTTTTACAGTGGTCCCAGTCCTCTGAATCTTAGGAATCTGTGACTGTACAGAAGCCTTCCTGACTAAACTATTCTGTCAAGCTAACTTCTCTGTGATGCAGGAAATCTGCAAAACCTGGAGGGAAAACAAATCTGACATCAACACTGTACACCTTCACATCACAAATATAAAGACCTATATACACATTTTTCTCTCCTGGCCAACTGAAAAAACACCGTCTGTCACATCCTATATACAATTAACATCACAGATGGTACTAAGCAACTTAATCTTTTCTACTGGTACTTTTGTGAGCTTGATATGAATCCAGTTTACGCCGACAAGTTCTGTCTCTAGGAAATAGCCATATGATGCGCTCCGAAGTCCGACACTAACTAAAGCTTTTACCTTCTCAGATTTTACGCATTAGCAAACTAACTACCAGCCATATAAAATGTCATGATAGTGGTAGAAACCCACTGAGTACTATGGCCAGTGAGTGCAGGTGCTGACCTCACAGCTCACTGTAGCTGTATGCGCTTACAGCTGACAGTCTTAAGTACATCCATGCTACAATCTTGACTCAGCTGCTGCTACCAGCTCTCGTATACACTCTGCCCTCGCCACTTCCTGTGCATGCCCACTGGATTGTACTTGATCCAGACAGTCTATGCTTGTTAGCATGTTAGTCCGCTGACTTTGGAGAGACTCACTGCTAAAGTTTAAGTTACAATTTTTAGTGCTTACTGTTTTGCATTGTGATTTAAATACTTTTATCAAGTGTAGAGTTTTTACTGTAAAAATACAACAAAGTAATAACTATTTCATAATTTATCAGCTTTATGTAGCTTATCGCTTAATATTCAGGGAGAATAATAGTGCATATGGCTTGACTTTCACTAAATACCAACATATCATGGTAGTGTGTCCTGCACTCAGTGGCCGATAAAATGCACTACACCCAATACTTGAAGTACTCGATACAATTAAAGGTGCAGACCTAATATATACTGAGGGGTAAAAACTCCACTGAAACTTCCCTGCACCTATAAAATGCAGAGCTGCAATCTCAGACTGGGTGTAAGTAGGCTAGGTGATATGGAAACAACATGCCATTGTGCACCTAACTGAGCCAAATTACTCCACAATGTTGAAAAACGTTAAAGAACATACACACACAGACACTGGCCTCATAATACTGATAACCACGCTACAATGTTCAGCCTGCCGAGTTCTAGCACTGGCTCAGACAAAGCAGAATTCCATGGACAACACCGATTTCTGTGGTGTCTGCATGACATGATAACATTGTGTAGCAGTCCAGTGCCCTGCACGCCACACAGTCCAGCAAAGGTTATGCTCTCTGTGTTGTCATCAAACATTCCACTACGGCTGAGCATTTAAAGGCTTTTCAATACAAACTTGGAGGCCATGAATGTTCTACACTAAATACGTGACAGACTGAGCTCCTCTCTGTCTTTACTTTACCAGGTTGGCATCATGTCTGGGAACCAGACCCGGCCCAGGTGCTTAGATACCTCCCAGTGAATCTCATCCAGGGAGTATTTATGATCAGGAATCAGCACCTCCTCCATGATGGACAGCTGGGACAGCCTCCGGCCACACATCTTGACAAACTCCACAAATGCGCTGCAGGAAACTTCGCACTCACCCAGGCCAATGGCTGAGAGCTGGGTGCAGTGCTTCGCAATGCGGATCAGCTCCTCATCCAAAGGGCGCAGGCCGTTGGCGCACACCACCAGCTCTACCAGACGAGGGCAGTGGAGGCCAACGCGGCCCAAGACCTCCTTACTGACCGAGCGGCCAAAATAGAGGTGCGTGACAGGGATCTCCTCATTAAAAAAAGGGCCAAACTCGTCTTCATAGAGAAAGAAATACATGACCAGGTTGAATTTGGGCGAGTGCCGCACCATAGCGTCCCAGCTGCTCTTTTTGATGGTGTGGAAGTGCTGGCCAGGGTTCTCGCTCACCACATCAATACGCAGGTGCTCCAGGTGGACGTGTTTCTCTGAGGAGAGGGCCAGCAAGAGTTCATCACTCAGGAGGTGGTAGTTCAGCGCCAGCTCTCTCAGCCCATGACACTGGTCTGCCACACACAGGATCCCTATGGACAGATTGTGCATCAAATCCAGTTTTGTTTTGAAGAATGATACAAAATTCATAAATTGCTTTTAAGCTAAAAAAATGTCTACTATATTTTGCCAGAAGTTGCAGTTGAATCACCAGTGATTTACATAGCTGACTATTATAAAGAGCTGTAGGAAAATGTATGTAAGATGGGGAAACAAGATCATAATATATATCATACATACAAAGTCTGTCAGGCTGCCACAGGAAAGGATAATATTGTATGAGAACGTAAGAAAATTCCAGTGTACTAAATTACTTCAGCATAGAAGTTTAAAAACATCTGACTAAAAGTAGAATGATGCAAAGCGTTGCAATATTTTGTGGTGAATATTATCCAACAATACAAACCAAAGAAAAAAAAACCATGACAGGAGTTTGTGCTCTCACTGTACCTGCAGGAGAGACGTGGGGGCAGCTGCTCATTTTCAGCAGTTTCAGAGTGTCACTGTTGTTGGCCACCAGCACCTTCAGAGATGGATCATCAACTGGCGTGTCGTCAATCTTCAGCGAAGACAGCGATTTGGAGTTGACGAACACCACAGTCAGAGCTGAGATGAAATGAGACTGGAAGGACAGAGATGAGAAGCATGATGCTTTCAGAGGCTGCCAGCAGACTGGGTCTCAGCTTTTGGTGACCAAATATGACAAAATGGTTGCCAAATTTAGAAATGGTGGTGGCAGATATTCTGTGTATCACGTTTCCATTTTTGATATGGAAATGTGACAAGGTGTTTCAGAATGTAGAGCTTTAAATTTCTACCAGTAGCCTGATTTGCACAGTAGCTGTCCATCAGCCCTTGTGTAGATGCACATGCTGTAACATACTGTATAACATGCAAATCTGTCTCCTTAGATGTGGCAGCCCTCTCCTGTTTATCATCTTTTTGCATCAAAATGACACGTCTCCTTAATTAAGAAAACCTTTCAGGTTTATACAAAAAAATTCTGCAACACTTGCAGTGTTTTGAGCAATTTTAATGTCAAGACCAACACGTTTAGGCAAGCAGACTTCGTCAGGGTCTGTTTCGGCTCCTTGCCGAATGCCTTGATTTTTGGTCTTTATGCTAAAGTTGCTCAAAACACTGCAAGTGTTGCTGGACTTTTTGTTTTCCAGTTTTTCCCTTGTTTGTACACCTTGACAGTGAGTGACGTTGTGCCAGAAATCTGTGCTGTATCAGGTTTATACAAAAAGACAGGCTGTATGTCATGACCCCTGCAAACCTCCTCAATGCAAATGAAGACTGGGATGTGGAGAACAGGGGCACATTTGACCCATAAACTAACTCAAACACTGCTTACATGATCTGTTTTGTTTTTTGTTTTTTTCAGAAGTAGAAAAAATATCCCAGTGAGCACTACATGAGATAAAGCAGCAACCCGTGTCCTTCTGAGGCTGTGGAACTATGCAAGACAACAGAAAATTCTTTTCAGCTGAATTTGAAAATAAGATAAGAATCTAAAACAACCTTCCTGTCAACTAACACGCACACTCAACATTTCAGGATACCGCTGTGAAAATGCATTAGGGCTGTCACGATATCAGATCCTCATTAAACGATTAGTGGCCAAAAAATTGGCAATAACAATACCATGATATCTACAAGGAAATTTAAACAAACACAACAATGCTATCAGTCAAATTTATTTTAACTTTGTGTATATTGTCTTTTTGCCAAATGACATGCACTAAAAATGTGAGTATAGGGAGGTGAAGAGAGAGACTAATGGATAGTGAAAACCAAATGAACTGATAAAAGATCCATAAGACCCAACATCTGCCATCAACACAATGTCAACTTAAACAAAATCACCTGCAGAGAGCAGGAGACAGAGGATGTGTGTGAGACCACAAGCTGACAACTACCCACTCAGATATACTGTGATTTTGTCCACTGACCATGAAGAGATTTTTTTTTTTGTCTTTCCACTTTTCACATTCTCTGTCTATGGCAAACTTCTATGAAGGCAGTCAAACATGTTTAGTTTAGTAGATTTATGGTCCAGTACTCCTGGTCCAAAGATTAGTTGTAAATACAAAAGGCTCCGTTTCAGCCAAACATTTAGGAACAAGTTGGGGATTTCTTTTTCAAAAAATGGTTGTCTTCTTGGGATTTTGTATTTTGGAGCAACTGTTTTCATCAGTGCTTTAAACCCTGGCCTCTCTACAATTCTAAAGGACATCATGTCCTTTGCTATGAAGTAGGCCAATGATTTAGTGATGGATTCATTCTGACATGAACTAGCAAGGTCTGCTTTTTCTTTTTTCATCCACTGACTCAAACAGCATTTGCTGACCTGAATCCCAGGCTCTCTCTCAATTCTTTGACACTGGCTGGCAACCAGAGGAGAGAGAATGCTGTTAAGTTCAATGCCATGGTAACTATAACAACACATTAAGACTATGATGTAACATTCGCCGTTTCAGGGCTAGCAAACTAACCACAATTTGCTCACTCCACTGTGACAAAATCTTCAGGTTGGTGAGCTAATTTTTTTTGGGTGCGAGTAGAATGTCTCGCTGTCATATTTAATTTCCTCTGACATGGTTTTCCACGTTAGTAGCCGCCATACACTCTGGTAGGGTAGCTACTAGTGATATTATCATATATATTTACAATGTCGTTATTTCATTTTTTTTTAAAATATCACAGTTATCATCAGTACCAGTATATTGCAACACCAGTACTTTCTATAATAAAATGAGAATGTACACTGTAGTAAAACTGAACTCAGCTGATTTTCCTTACAGATCTTAAGAACAGGATACTGTAAAGACCCAGACCCCTTTTGATTATGTTCATTTTACCTTTGGAACCTCCATGAAACTGGGCCTGGCTGTAGAAATGAGTCCTAGGGTCTTCAGTGAGCAATTCACCAACTGTGAAAGAATGTCGCATGCTGCTTCGGCAGACTCTGTACTACTGTCCACCTGGCAAACACAAGTAAATATTGATTAAATAAAAACTATATTTTTAAACCCGATGGTGTTGGCAAACTGTAAACATTTAATCAGAGAATCAGGAAAACACAGCTCAACAGACGCTGCAAGCTTTTCTATCCTTACCTTGAAGCTGACGTACTGCAGGTGGTTGGAGTGCCTCTTGATGATCTGCTTGATGAGGTCTGGATGTGTGGCTTTCAGGTAAGAGCTGGCTGGCTGGTTAAGCTCAAACTCAAAGCATCTCCACAGCTCAGGCATGTGAAAAGCCTGGTTCCACTCCCGGCACACCTGAGAGGCATAAGCCCGGTCCAGCAGTGGAAGGTACTGGAAGATGTGGAGCAGAAGCTCCTGAGGCAGCCGTGCCCAATCACTGACTGGTGGCCCACTGGCCATCACTGCCTCTGACCTCTCACTGATCTGCTTCCGAACCTTCTTGCAAACCTCTGGTGGGCTCTCATTTGAGGAGCTGTCACTGTCTTCCTCAGCTCCTTTCACCCGTTTCATCCTGAAACATAGAGATGAAGCAGTTTGTTACAGTCCAGCAAGGCAAATCACTGAGATATTAAATTACACAGTATGTGATACTGAAAATGCTCATTCAGTTTGTTGTGAAAGCTGATCACAGTGGTCATTTTGTGCTTGTTTGGTATCTGGTCTGAACACCAGTGCTTTAAACAATCACTCATCTAATATGAATAATGGTGAATTAAAAAATAATCTTCTATTTATCTAGACACACAGAACCTACCCCGGAAGGACGTCTGAATAGTTTGTTACTCTAAGGCTTTAAAGATCTGGAACTAAACCTGAAGCACCTTCTTGCATGTCTAATGCTTTACCATTTTGCTTCATGTCACAGATTGGCTCCACAAACTCTTTCAGAATCAAATACCCTTCATCTAAACAATATTCATGCCAGTGAGCACACTTCTCTTCTTCACAGGTACATAAGGCTGCCGCTAACTAGTATTTTCACTCTTAACTTTATGTAGAAATACTGTATGTATGCCTGCTTGTTGCACTTTCTTAATTTAGTATAACGTTACTGCAGTATAAAGATGTCCATATCGGGGTAGGTTGGATAGATTCGTGTCTTGTTTTTCTCTTTGACATTTTTAAAAGAAATCTAATATAAGAAACATTCTTCCAATAAAAACACAGTTGTTAAACCACACAGTAACATTATTGCTTAACGTTATTTCAGAAGAAACATGACAGCAGTGATGTTAAGCCACATCAAGCGAAGGCCATGCTTGAGCAGGTAGTTAGTTATGAGTTAATGTCTTGACATTTCAGGCAAAACTCCGTATTAAATGGAGTTGGCTTAGGCGCACCAATGATCGGGTTAAAAAGAATTAACAGGAAATCGTTTAGGTTATTATTTTAAGTAACCAGTGCTGTGAGTTAACGTAGTTAACGCTAGCAATTTGGCAAACTCGTTGCAGAAATCTGACCACAAATGAGATTCTGTCTGTGAAAAGTGTTCGACTTTATTTGCAGAATGATCCACTGAACATGCCACACTGATATAATTAGTTTAACGTTAACTATAACACAGCTAACCAGCCTGGCCAGCAGTCCTACCTTGTTGTTTACACACAGCTAGCTTAGTAGCTGTTAGCAGGGAAATCCGACAACTGACTGACTTGATACTTCAGCCCGGGCCCACGCTGGGAAAGTTCATTCGCAGCAGCCAAATAAAACGCATCGGAACACAATACCCGAGCCGTCTGACGATGAATAATAGACGAGGGACGTTTTCGATGAAGAACGAGCCGGAGCGTAGCACCTCCGCACAGCTGACCTAATTCCTTCGCCGGAGTTACAGCCCCCCTAAACCTGAAATGGCGAAGTGTTGTTGTTGTGACAGCAGCTGTGCATCATGGGAAATGTAAAGCGAAATGGCTGTTGGAAAAGATCGTCTAAGTTTGAATAATGAATCACTATTACGTTTATTTTAAAGACTATTCCATCACCACTGCATAAATTGTCCAAAATTGTATTACAACCCAATTAATTTCCGTTGAGTTATAATTAATGGTAGAGGAAAATCTGCAGTCCTACTTATGACCAAATTTCTCAATTTTTCCTTGTCAGCAAAGACAAGAATCTATTTAAAGTCTCCAATAATATGCTTTACTAATAGCCTCTATCTGTCACAAATGTGCCATTAATCACACCAACCCCAGTGCTACGTACTGTCGATTGGTAGCGTGTTTCTTATGAAATTATCCCCCACTGTAGCTTTTTCCATCTTACACTGTCGACTTTTATTCTGCTGTTATGTTATCTAACTTGAACTGCAGCCTACTTTCTCTGTGAATAAAGCAAGTAAAATACATTTTGCAAAATTGGGAATGAACTCTCATGAATGCACTTTTTATCTTGCGATTTTCAAGAGCTGTAACTAAAATAATTTTTATTATTGAACAATAATTTTCTCAGTTAATCACTGTTCTCACTCCACCACAGCAAATATATTAATGGAATTGTGCTAATCAATTGCAATTCCAATAAATAACTTTCCTCCTGCCATGTCACCATTGCATCTGCTATGGATTTTAGTAACACAAACAAAAACTACACATTTAAAATCTCCTTGTTTACACTACAGACCAGCAAGTAATGTAGCCTTTATTTACACAAATTGCAGGACAACAGTTAAGCTTTTTTTGCCGTTTCCTACCTGGAAATAAGGTAGAGAAATATATCATAATGTTTTCCTAGTCTCTGCTAAGAAGACAGGACTTTTGCCTTCATACTATTTACAGATATACAGTATAATCATTTAACATTGTGCTAGATTTGACACCATCATGCCATCATCATAAAAGGCCATCAGGTAGGTCACTTAATCTAAATGGCTCCAGAGATCAAGAAATGACCCGTTGTATACTGTGTGAAACAGATAACCTGGTTTATTACCATTCAACTCCATCCACCACAGATATTACAGAGCAGATTCACAAGTATTATGCTTTATTTTTTATATAACAGCAGCTGTTTTTCCCCCCACACGCTGACCCTCAAACCCACCACACCCCCCTGCCTCCTGCTAGGGAAAACCATGTTAGGTGCACAACTTTATTTGGTGTGAAGACTGGCCCCTCAAATCACTCAGCTGTAATCAGTCTCACTGTGAGGTTTTTTGTTTGTTTTTCTATCACTAGAGGATTTGGTACTGTTTGCTGCAAGAAGAATTTACATCAATCATCAATCACTGCAGGTGCCAGACTCCTCCTCCTCCTCCTGCCCATACAAGAGACGAGACCTGGGGGAAATTATGACTGTCTACAGTATAAAAATGTACAGTGGCTTTATTAACATACATTCCATTGGGTAAACAGCTGCAAAACAGGAGGCACACCCAGTATTGCACTTCATTAAAAGTTCTGGCTCAAAACAACCCAGAATATCAAACAAAACTGAAGTGAAGAGTAGCAATTTCAGAATACAGCTATTTTGAATAGTATCATTATATACAAGGTAAGATAAATCGTACATTATTTTCCTTCCAAACATGATATTCTTAACAGTCTTATCCACCAACTTGTCTTTTTTTTTTTTTGTCCACCAACCCATGATGCAGTTTTGCTTTCGCATTAACAGTGGAAAATACTGTACAAGATTACGAAAAAAAGTTTACATATAAGCAATTTATTTCATATTCAATGTTTAATCTTGTATTGTTACACTTCAGTGATCAGGAGGTGTGCAACGTCTATAGAAGCCGAGGGAATACAACGGCTGCATGCAAACACGTCACAAGTTATTTTCTTTTTTCTTCTTTTTAAATATTCAATTGTTCTTTTGCCATTCAGGTTACTCTGAATTCAAAGGAGCCACAGCTCCTGTTCGTAGCAGAGCCTGGATACTGATGTTGGTAGAAGAGCAGATCTGAGGACCCCTGGCATAGAGCTGAACCCTGGTCCAGTGTCCAGGAGACTTGGCAATGCAAGAGCCAAGCTTCATAACTGAGCTTTGGCAGCAGCCAGAAATCACAGTAGACAAACTGGTTCTCATTAAAAACCTCCTTTAGTTTAGAAGGTGTGGGCATTTCTGCATACCCCACAGCCCAGGGCAAACTCCTCCCCTGTTGGTGGGTGAACTACATGCAGAGGGCACTCAGTACCCTCCAGCTGCTTGCCTTTGGGCCCTGTGACAGAAAGGACAAGGGATTTTATCACAGTCACATCTACTTTGTTTCAGTCTGGTATTTGGCCACTGTCTATAAGAAACAGTGAAATAAAAACATTTAGCCACAAATCTATGGTCTTTGTTAGCAGAGCAATTTAATAGCAGGTGTGTGTTTGGATGTCAGTCTGTAGAAACTTGGTTTAGATTTCCCAAAATGTGGTTGAGGTCAAATTAATGTATTTGTCCCTCATCTTCCTCCTGCTGATCTAACAAGACAGGTGGGGGAATTAGAAACGTAGAAAGTATGACTGTGCCTTTCAAATCTGCATGTGAATAATTTGACATTTTACAGAAGAGTAGAGTCAACAGAATTGTTAAGCACCTGCAGGACAATGGGGTAGCTCCTCCTTGGGGACACTAGTCATCCTCTGGAAGTCATCGTGGCAGGCATTGCAGAAGTGTGTTGTGCCAAAGCAGAAGAAAACAGCCACAGAGCAGCAGTACCGACATTTATACTCAAGGAAGTCAGTGCCATGCTTGGAGCACATCTGGTGAAATAATGAGTAGACTTCAGGGGTTGGATTCTATATTTTGTGCATTGAATACAGATAAACTATATTTTAAAAGCAGAAGAGAAACATTCTTATTTCCAAGGTTGAAATGGGTCTGATCTCTGTAGTCTGTGCTGGTTTTCTAGCAACTTCACAGTGATGTCAAGACTCAAGGATGTCACTGGTCCAGCAAAGAAACTGTTCAGCACGTAATTCACCGTAAAACCCCAATTTAATTGTTTTATACTTTAGTTTTAGTTGAATGAAACAACCAAGCTATACCACGAGAAGCTGGTACAGTAGCTGGATTTTGTTATCTTTAGAACCAAACAAGCCGTTTCCTTCTATTTCTAGTCTTTATGCTAAGCTGAACTAACTGCATGCTCATTTTCCCATTTCCCAAAATGCCACACATAAAGTAAAGTGGCAGCAGAAGGGTACTTCACAGGCATTATATACCCACCTGAGCCCGGGAGACATCTGAGCACGCTCCACAGATCAGCTCTCTGGGATCGTAGTCGTCTCCCTGTCCTGCTTCTGCATCACAGCGAGCCTCTCCCCCAAAGTAGGCCTGGAAAAAAGAACATCCATTAATTCTCTATCACTGGACTCTCTTAAATTAAAATGACTTGCATTTTTATTTTACATGGTACCTTCTTGCATTTGTAGCAGACATAGTATGCATATCTGTTCATGGCAAAGCCAGCAGGGTCGTTGTGGAAGCGTGCTCCTGGTGTAGTTATTGCCTCACTCTTGTGGAGACCCTCATACTCCAGCCTCATCAGAGCCTTTCTCCTCACATCATCATAGAGCTCCTTGATGGGGTCGAGCAGGTCCTTGATCACAGAGTGATTAATTTTGTTCTGGAGGAAAACAAACAAACCAGCACACATTCATAAAGGCGGTTCTGTTGAATCCACTGCACTTGTTAACAGCATTTCACAAAGATGACAGTGAACAAAGCAGCCACAGTTTCATAGTCTTAAAGCTCAAACAAGTTTAAGGTGTGGTAGAAGCAGGTTTCAACATCTTTGCTGCTGGGTTTATCTCTTACCTTGCAAATGGGACACAACATGAACCCAAATGTTATTCGGGGCCCGAGCCAACGATTCTCAAGAACACGACGAGTACACTGAAGGTGGAACACATGTGTGCAGTCCAGCTAGGAACAGAACAAAGTGTTAAACATTAAATGATATCAGCCTTAAACCCATTAAGTGAAATTCATATACCTACTGAATAAACAGTTGTATTTTGAGCTACCTGTACTGCAGGAGCAGCAGAGAGGGCCTCTGTGAAGCAGATCATACACATGTCATCTGCATCCTGTTTTAGACAGCCAGTGTTCTTGTCACAACCATGCAGACATGGGAGGCAGGTCTCCTCATTTTTAACTCCTCCGCACGGGTGTCCACAGGGGTGAGTCTTACTGCAGGCCAGTTTAGCATACTCCTAATGGAGACAACATGAAAGAAATGGGTTAAACTTAACTATCTAGAACAAGTTATTGTGATTACAAATAAGTGAAATATAAACTTTACTACAGAACTCTACATAGTCTCTGTTTTGTGTACAGTAGGTATTTGTTCAACTCTGTGAAGTGGCTGGATAACACCTCATCTAACACCTCATCTATTATTTTTAACGCTCAACACAGAATTATTTTTAGCCTCTTTACACAGAGATTGCAGAAGTGTGTGTTTATGTATTCTATGAAATAAAAACAAAAAAGTATTATTTTAAATTATTTTTAGAGCTTCAGCTTCTCTATCAAAACAAAAGGTACTATGGTGACCACAGTTTTTATATATGACAATAGGTGACCAGAGATGACAAAATATTCAGATAATAAGTGGTAATACGTTTTCTTGTTCACGTGAAGTACCTGGCAGTCTGGATCCGAACAGACGCTGCCCACTGCAGACAGCTCGGTGCCGTTCCTTGTACCACAGAACCTGCAGGCGTCTGAACTGCTGGACGCTGGTTTTCCTACAAACACATTAAGATTTGTCAGACTAGGTAAAGGAAGGCACAAGGAAAGTCTGGAGAAAGAAAGGTTTGAAACATCACTTTAATACATTGTCATTAATTAGTGAATAACGAGTTAGGAACACTAACAATCATCATACAGAGAGCAGTGATATGTTCTGTTTCTGTGTTAAAAGTACTGTACCAGTGTGTTCCCTGAACTCCACCATAGCCTTCATAGTCTTTGAGTCAGCCAGA